GAGCGCTCGGTTGACGCGATCTACGAATCGGGAGCGTTGGCTCGGATCCGGACGCCCGGCCTATCAACAATCTATCTTTTCCCTAATCATTCCATTTGAATAACGATTAAATATATTAATTGCAATTAATTTCCTTGTATTGTTATTCATATAGTTTATTATTCGCCATTTTCTTAAAACGCTTCGTATTGAGCGGAGGGGTTGTTCACGCGTTAAAAGCTGGGCGTCCGGATCCGAGCCAACGCTCCAGATTTGAAGCTCGCGCAATATAATAACTTAAACTGCAACGGGAATGGTAATATTCAATTATTCAACGTACCATGTTTATTTTGTTCCTGTTGCGCGTTTCTGTTATCCCTCATTAATTCTCTGTTCGCCTCCGCGTTCCTCTCTTGATTCAGTTGACTAGAATTGTCCGTCACGTCTTCCTGCGGCTTGTACGGCGTCACTACCTGCCTCGGCAAATGCGGATACTTCCCACCGAGAAATCCGATGTCCCCAAAATAAGCTCCGTCCAATCCAACGTGGCCCGTGTGCTTCAAATCTCCTTGAGGAGACGAGATCATGTCCGTTCGTATTTTCCTTCGTTGCGAAGAGAATGCATTCTTGCCATCACCCCGCGTGAACTCTCCAGGTTTGTTACTCGGCAAATTAGACCCGAGGTACGCTATTGTATGAGCAGGATTGAAAAACCCTGTCTTCCCGTTGTTTAAAACGCCTTTCCACAAAGTATTACTACTCCCTTTATCTAGAACGGTGATCACGTCGCCTTGCCTGTAAACCAGCTGACCACTTTCTGTACTGTCCTGAACAGCTTGGACCTGTTCCGGCTTTAAATCCGGCAGTAGATTGATCAACTCCGAGAACTTAGGCCTCTTCGAGGGTTCGTGTTGCCAGCATTGTTGCATCAACGCGAAATAGTCTTTCGGACAGCATTCCGGTTGCTCGAGCCTTTGGAAGTTCGGATCGTCTATCGCCTCCAGTATCTGATGCCCCGTTAACGCAGCCCACGGTTGGAAACCGTAGCTGAACATCTCCCACAAAGTGACTCCGTAAGCCCAGACGTCGCTCGCCGAAGTGAACTTCAAATACGATATACATTCCGGCGCGCACCAAGCGATGGGTAACTTCAAGTTTACATTGAAATTCGTTTGGTAATAATCCTTGCCAACGCCCAGAGCTCGAGACAGTCCGAAGTCTGATATTTTCACTTTGTTCTTCGAGAAGACTAAAATATTCCTGGCAGCGAGGTCGCGGTGTATCAATCGTTTAGCTTCTAAGTATTGCATCCCATCGGCGATCTGAACGGCGAAATCGCATAGAGATAGAACAGGGAAGCTCGTGCGAAGACTCGGTTCTTTTAAACACTCCAGTAACGATCTTAAAGGAGCTAATTCCGTGACGAGCATCAAGGAATTAGTGTCTAGTACGACTCCGTATAATCTAACAATGTGCTCATGGTCGATCGAGTGCATTATCACCGCCTCCTTCAAGAATTCAATCGGATTATTCTGCATCCTCTCCCTGGAGAGGCATTTTATAGCCACTTGTATCCTCTCGCCGTCGTTCGTCCATACGCCTTGCTGTACCACTCCGAATTCTCCTATACCTAATTCCTTATTCACGATGATCGCATCTGCGGGTATCATGTGCTTATTAGGTACGCGAATCGGAGGCTTGTCCTGTCTCTCCTCGGGCAGCATCGTTAGAACGCCTGTGGATGGCTCCTCCCGTTTAGGCAGCAACATTTTCTTGAACTTCGAGAGGTAGTTCTGCGGGAAGTGTTTCTGGAAATATTTCTTCAAACGACGCATCTCCGGCTTGCTCATCCCAATCGCGTTCAGATCCTCCTCTGTTACATACTTCAACTGAGCCGTTGTTTGTACCTTCAAGTCCCCTATTAAACAGAACAGTTTATATTTATTCTCAGTTGGTTAATTAAAGCTGCCGGATAATTACCTCGAATTCCAGGATAATACTGTTGGAGCTCTGCCTCCATAAGGAATTCGTACAAACCGGGTCCAGTGTTGCGGGACATTCCTCCTTGTGTGTCTTTAAATCAAAACAAAGGCGACACTTGTTAATGCTGATTAATTCGTAGCTACGACGTGTGTCATAGAAACGATTTAGAAAAACCGTTGAATTAATCGGGTCTCTCCTCCTCACGCGACTAACTTAATTAACATCGCGTCGAAGGTCGGAATCGTCGATAAATCGATCGTAATTAAATCGCGGCTTGAGGAAACAAAAGCGGCTCGTGTATCGCCGCTACTCTAATAATACTCGACAACAATGAGCAGATTCCTCGATTGAACTTACGTTATCTGAGCGACATCGGGGACGCGGCGAGACTCGAAGCTTCTATGCAGAAGGAGGAAAGCCGAAACAACAGGGGGAAACGGGGGAAAAATAGGAAATAATAGAAGCGAGGAGACCGGGAGTGGGGCGGAGTACGAAATTCCTGGCACGACCCGGAGTGTACCGTGTGCACCAGGTCGTTGGGTGCGTGACAGACTCCTCTCGATGAGGAATGCCGATCAATTGACTCGGTTTATTAACTTGTCGCGCGTTGATAAAAAAACGTCGCCAGGAATGGGAGCACGATATGTCATCGTGCGAGAGTAACGCTAATAACGCTGATCGATTCCTCGGCATATATGAACGCGAGAGGCTGCGACCGGGGCGAAGCCTCGAGGCACGGATAAAACGGGACCAGCGGATCGTCGGATTTCCATCGAAGACACGCCCTGGCGTGCCTCAAATAGATTATTATTTATACGAACCGCGCCGTGGCACTCACCCATTCTACGATGACCCAGCACGGTACACTCGGAGCTCCTCTCCTTGTCATGAGACGCGAGCGTCTGCCACTACGCGCGATACGAAATCACGAGACTATTCTCTTCGCTTCGATTCTCCCCACCGCCATGCAAATCACGCCGCAGAACTTCGACTCGCGCCTCCCTCGTTCACATCTTTTATCATCGACGTTTCTTGTACTTTTCAAGGGACGCACGGTTACGCGTTTCTTATCCCTTGGTATAAACAGGCGGCTACACTTGGTGGTTGTCACTATCGTATTATGGACACCGGTTTCGATTAATTAGCGATCCGACGCCTCCGATTTCGTCGCGGTTCGTTCCATTTGTTTGCCGACGTTTCACGACTGGCCGCTAGTTACCGCTAGGAACTTAGAAGCATAAACCTGTACTTTAGACGAGGGGAGTGAAGCCATCTCCGCAGTGAAGGGAGGAATAGTCACGTGGTTTCCCCCTGCAAGCATGCACATGCAGCACATGAGGAGCAGTGGTTATGATTTGATAACACCAAAGAGGAAATGTTTAGAGGACATATAATTTCCTTTCTGATAACACCGATATTTTAATCAATAGAAGAATATACTTCAATTTCCTTGCTTCCTAACCTATTTTAATAAATCGTTCTTTCTTCCTTGCAATGATGTTCAATCTTTGACAGTGACAGTAATAAAGGTTATAATTGAGCACCACTGAACAGGATCGAAGAGGTCTTTTCGAACATGTTCTCGTTTTCACACGTGTTAATAGAAATCATAGATTAAAATAAACATTTCTATAAATCAGTGAAGTTGTTCCACCCTTCCTGACCTACTGATAACACCAGAGAGGAAATAATGAAAGATATATTTAATTTCCTTTCTGATAACATATAATTTTATCAGCGCCATAATATTGCTTGTAGTCAATAGAAAAAAGTACACAAATTTGTTTCCTAATGCTTTCTTCCTTTTCTTAATAAAATGCTGTTTTCTTATTCTTGCACTACTGTTAGATCTTTTGGCAGTGACAGTACGACTGGCTTTCATTGAGTACCACTGAACAGAATCCAAGAAGTGTCTTCGAATGTGTTCGAATTAGTGTATAGGGTAAGGGACTAATAATGCAAAGGGTGCTGATTTCCCTGTCAAGGGTTAATATAAATTACTGAAGTAATATTAATTTCAGTATAATGACATCGATATTCTGTGTCAGCGTGAAGGGCAATACCATCGGATCTTTAACTCGATTATGTAAGGTTAGTACTTTTACTATTACTGTCATAAAAACGATAATAATAATAATAACAATAATGATAATAATAATAATTGATTCAAATGAATAAGATAGACTGTTTAATTACTATAAATATCTTAATTACATTTCGTAACCAGTTGATCCCATTTTCAAATTCAACTGTTCTGTGAATCCGATCGCGTAATCGTCTGCTTTCCAGATATCGAACTACAATGCGACACAAGTGGCGTTTATGAAGAGATTAGTCCTGAAAGAGGAATTGCCCAAGCCACCACCGTTTCCTTACTGGAGAAGGCTATGCTGCCCGACAACAATGTTCACCGACCCTACGTCGTTCAGATACGACGAGAACACAAAGTTGATAATCGTCGACGGCCCCCCAGCCGCGGGAAAAACGAAACTCTGTGAGAAACTGGCAGAGGAGTTCGGGCTGCTGTACATGCCGCCGCCGACTCACGACCAGATGTTCGTCAACCCTTACGGCTTCGACCTACGTAGTCTGGACCCGAAACTACCCGCAGGATGCAAGTCCTGCGACTTGAATCGATTCTTAACGGATCCTACCAACAAACAAGTGCCCATCTTCCAAATGACGTATTTGTACATGAGACTCGAACAGTACATGAACGCCCTGGTCCACATTCTGGCCTCTGGACAGGGAGTAGTACTGAATCGATCAGCATTCTCAGACGTCGCGTTCGTTGACGCTATGTACAACGCCGGTTACCTTAGCAAAGCAGTTGTGGACGAATTAGAGGAGATGAAGAGGCGATGTATGTATCATCTGCTCAGACCTCACCTAGTAATCTACTTAGATGTTCCTCCGGAGGTCACTATAGTAAGTATTAAGATCACGAAAATAACTTTCTTAAAAACTGTAAGTAATATTTACAAATAAGAAGAACCAAAACCAAAACTTGTATAAGTTATGGCATTTTTCGACCCGTGGTTTTAATTCTAATTTCGCGTTATAATAAGTAATAATTGTTTTCCAGGACAATGTTAAAAGGAGGGCGATTCGTGAGGAAGTTAATTCTAAGGTCATCAATACGAATTACTTGTCCGACCTGGACAGGGTGATGAAGGAGAAGGTTTTGTCGTCGTTGACGTCGACCTCGGAGGTATTGATTTATGATTGGAGCAAGGACGGCAATCCGTTGGACATAGTTCACGACATCGAGCACACGGATTTAGAAGAGGTGCCCGACAGAGAGAAGTTCCAGGATTGGATATTCATCGACGCGGAAACTATGATAATGCGTCTGTGCTTGTTCCATGAGAAGGAGACGATATTCAATGAGATGAACGCGCCCATGGATAAAATGGCAACGGAGTTGTATACTACCGCCGAAGACGACGAGATAGAGCACAAAGTGATGGAAGGGGCAAGTGTCTCGCTTAAACGTTTCGACTTTCCTTCGATTAACCGAGAAAATTTTCGTTCCAGGTGGTATCTGAGAAATATGAATACGGATGGAATCCCGAACTAGGCGACAAATACTCGTGGAGAAAAAAATTTAGAATCTTCAAGCTGTCGCTGTTCCGTCGCACGCCCCTTGACTTTGTAAATTGCAAATTTTTCGATTACAAAGCATACCCTTAATATAGTCGTTAATAAATTATTCTTGTAACAAAAGGATTATAGTGAGATAATAAAATAATAGGCAGGAACCTCTCGTGCCGAGTTCCAGCCTCACATCAGGAGAGAAAAATAGTCCCATGAAATTATTCAACGATGTCCATTTCAGTTTTGTATTATAATCATACATGTTAAAAATATAAATATGTTTTCAAAATTACACATATGTATGCAGTTATTATATGTACACACACATAAACATTGCATTAAATACTCTTTTAACTAGCTTCGTGTTATTTCTTTGAGTACACCGATACGATCGAATAATTTACAGATACACCAAATAAAGCCTTCACGGTTTCGTGTATCGATCCGCGGCACTACAGGTTCATACGTTTCCTTTTTAACAATCCGGTAAAAACAAATCGAAAATTGTTGTACTTGCACATTGTTTCCGAAAGTCTCGTCGTAGAAAAGATAAAACGGAATGTACTTTTACACGCAAGCTATCCTTGCATAGCTACATTTAAAATAACAAGACAGAGGGGGGAGAAAAAAGAGAGAGAGAAAGAGAGAGAGAGAGAGAGAGACACTAAAACAAATCGCGCGAATCCGGCAGTAGTTCAATATACCATTTAAGTGCATTCATAGATGCTATATACAAACAATCTGTACACAAAATATTGAATTTTGTCATACTATTAAAATTCATAAATTATCCCCATTAATCAAACCTGTTTAGTAATACTATTTCATTTTGCACTTTAACAAGTTACATACGTACACATATTTACCATGACGTGGCCAGCGAAAGTAATTCTGCCAATGGAGAGCCGTTTAAGGAGCTAAACTGCAGCAGGAATTGGTTTTACGTGCAGTTTTGTAAAACGCTTTCGATTGGGCGCTGAGACCTTGCGATTTCGCGACCAGGTCGTCTAGGTTTTCGCCCCTTTTAAGAACAGCCTCTAACGTGTTATGCTACAGCAGTAAAATAAATACTAGAGTCGAATTCAGCGAAAAGACTTTATCCTTCCAATGCTCCTGCTTACCAAGATGATCTTCGTCTCGTCTAGATCGTTTTGCATCTTGGTGAGAGCGTCAGCTTCGTTAGGATTCTGGTACTTGGATAAATACACATTCAGCTGGGCGAAGTCGATCAACGCTTCGCTCAGAGTATCCCAAGAAGATTGTGGATATCTGCCAGTGAACTCATCCATAACTTTTGTGATTAATGTGTGAGCTACTCTCCTAGGGTACTCGTGATCGGATATAAGCACGGCAGCAAGGTTATCTGCCCTTACATATACATGACACATGTAATCTGTAAAACGTTACAATCCGTCAGGTTGAGAAGAGATTTTTATCCCACAGATTCTACCTGCTTCTTTCACACTCTGTCTAGAACAATTCTGCGTTCTCTCAACGATGGTTTTGCTTATAAACGTCATGAACTCTTTGACACTGCTCCGTTGGAAAAACGAGAACGACTCCACGTCGTAGGCAGCTTTGAACGTAGTCGCCGACGTGGGATTTTTATACAAAATCGACAGCGCATATAACCTTACCATTTTTCCTCTGGAAAAACGGGACGATTAAGTAGTTTCAAATCTGGGTTAGAACGATTTCACGATGCCTCACGTTCATCTGTCGTGCGGCGAAACGAAAACGAAAATAACTCTCGGCGTAGAACCTACCACAGATGGCATACACTTTCCCCTGAACGTGTTTCAACGTACAAAACGCATCGAATTCAGGCTTGCTAAGCTAATAAACTTTTTCTCATTCCTAATACAGACTCCGATGACTACTCCTATTTTCATTTACAACTACAGCTACATTAGACACACAGTCACCAACATCGCTCTTCATCCTCATATCTTCCTCTTCTTTCCCGGCAGCGGTTCTCAATTAAATTGATAAAACATTTCATTGATCTCTTTTTTCGTGGAGATACTATACATTACGCTCAGCTTAACGATTATAGTAATTACAAGTTGTAATTATTAAAACTGTCCCAGAATCAGTTCAGGAAAAGAGCAACATGATTAATTATTATTATCATCATTCTTAAGTACAGCAATTGTAAACAACGCGGTGTGGTTAATTATCTAATTATCAGCAATGACGCGTTATTTTGCCGATATAATTAGAAATAATTATTATAATTGCATGATAATTTTACCCGGGATTGCAATTAACGTTTTTTGGGGTATTTCGATGGGAATTTTTCATATGCAAAGGTTAAAAAGATATTTGGAAAGAATAAATGTATAAATTACGATTAAAAACATTACCTCTGTTCATTACCTTTAATTTAACGAGAACAATTCTTCGAATCCAAATCGAGAGGCATAGAAATATTGTATTCTACATGGAAATGCCATTTTATTCTATATAGTGTTACCCTGTATAGTGTCATTTGCTTGTGTTCGGTTGCGAACCTCCATTGCTCCATTCCCTCCATTAGCTGACGCTCGCTGACGCTCTCACGTTCTGATATAACCTGTACAAGTTCTATTCTTCAAACGGAACAGATAGCACTAATTTTGTAATCCGTAAGTTTCGAATTGAATGAATATAACATTTATTTCATAATCTTTATTGTGAACAATGTACGTAAAATATTTGGTGATAGCGATTGAAGCTACCGCACTATGTGTTTAGGACTCGTGTATACGCTATCGGTTTTGGAATCGCGTTTCATTATATTCGTTATTTAGATACTAAGTATTTGTGTATCTTGTTACAGTTGTCACTCTGAAACATGAGTCGTTTTTTTGCAACTGGATCAGACTCGGAATCTGATAGCACTCCAGAAGAAGAACAAGTTCAAAGAGCACCGACCACAACCTTCACTGTAAGCGAGTGAACATTCTATTCTCATTATTAATTACTACAGAATTCAAATACAGAACACAGAATACAGAATTCATACAGTACAATACAATCAACATACAGATTTCAATAAGAATTACATAATTGAATTAATAACTTCTTACAGTTTAGCGATGAAGAGGAAGAAACTAAGAGGATTGTGCGTTCGACGAAGGAGAAAAGATATGAAGAAATCGCCAATTTAATTAAGCTCATAAGAAACTACAAGAAGATCAAAGATATGAGCAGCATGCTAACTAGTTTTGAGGCTTTGAAGACTGCCTACCAAAAGGCATTGCCTGTAATAGCAAAAGAAGAAGGTGGTCAAACGCCACGTTTTTATATCAGATGTCTGGTAGAAATGGAGGACTTTATCATTGACGTGTGGGAGGATCGTGAAGGTCGCAAGAACATGTCTAAAAATAATTCCAAGTCGTTGACCTCGCTACGTCAGAAGCTCCGTAAATACAACAAAGATTTCGAGGAGGACATAGCAAAATTCCGGGAGAATCCTGATCAGGACGATGACGAAGAAGAAGAGAAACCTGAGGAACTCGCGGAGTCGGAGGAAGAAGACGACAGTGCGGTTGCCTTCAAGAAAGCTGGATCGGAAGCAAGCGAGCCGGACACTTCGAAATTCAAGAAGAGCGTCGCTGATGGAGACGATGGAAGCGAGAGCGAATCCGATTGGGGCAGTTCCTCGGACAGCGAGAGCACGAGCAGCGAAGACGAAGGACAGTACCAAAATATTCGTGAACGATTCATAAAGAGAGCGAAGGACGAGGAAGAGGAGGACAAGGCAAAACGGAAGGAACAGCGGAAGGAACGGAAAGAGAAGGAAAGGAAAAAGAAGCGGGACGAAGACGATGGAGAAGGCGAATGGGAAACAGTGAAGGGAGGCGTCGCTATTCCATCCGAGAAGCCGAAAATGTTCGCCAAAGACGCTGAGATCAATGTAGCTGCTGTCTTGAAGAAGCTAAACGAGATCATTGCTGCCCGTGGTAAGAAACGTACCGATCGCAGGGAACAGATCGAACTTCTACACGAATTACAGTCCATAGCCGACGCTCACAATCTTGGCCCAGCAGTAGCTGTGAAGATCAAGTTTTCTATAGTATCATCGATCTTCGATTACAATCCGAAAGTGTCGGACGCGATGAAGCCCGAATATTGGTCAAAGATACTGGAGCGTATCACGGAGATGCTCGAAATGTTATTGAGCACGAAGGACATGATCATCGCTGAGGTTGTGTCCGAGGAGGGAGAGGAGTATGAAACGCCTCCGTACAAGATACACGGTTGTGTTTTGACATTGGTGGAACGTTTGGACGAAGAGTTCATTAAACTGTTGAAAGAACGCGACCCACACAGTAATGAGTATGTGGAGAGGTTGAAGGATGAGAAACAGGTGTCCGCTATAATAGACAAGGTTCAAGAATATCTGGAGAGGCAGGGAACCGTCTCCGAACTTTGCCGCGTGTACTTGCGTAAAATCGAGCATCTATATTACAAGTTCGATCCGAACGTCCTTAAACAAAAAGACGGAGAGCTCGGTTCGGACGTCGTAACATCCGTGCAAGTCATGGAGAAACTTTGTAAATACGTATACGCTCACGATAGCACGGACAGGCTCAGAACCCGTGCTATCCTCTCGCATATTTATCACCACGCCCTCCACGATAACTGGTTCCAAGCTCGCGATCTGATCCTGATGTCGCACTTGCAAGAAACTATCCAGCATTCCGATCCGGCCACGCAAATCTTGTACAACAGGACGATCGCCCATCTGGGCTTGTGCGCGTTCCGCCACGCGAACATTAAAGATGCCCATAACTGTTTGGTCGATTTGATGGTCACTGGTAAGGTGAAGGAGCTGCTGGCGCAAGGCCTGCTGCCTCAGAGGCAACACGAGCGCAGCAAAGAGCAAGAGAAGATTGAGAAACAGAGGCAAATGCCTTTCCACATGCACATCAACCTGGAGCTTCTCGAATGCGTTTA